ACAATGCGTATCATCAGAAATGTTGCTCTATAATTCAAGATTTAAGCTTCTCATAGTTGCATGTTTTTCATTTATCATTCTAAAGAGATCCAATCGAAATTTAAGTGAATGGCACATTTAAAAGTGCCAGAAAGAGATAATTATCTTTTTTTTTTTGCCCTACAGAACGAGAGAATTATGGCTATATAGAGAAGCCTGTTACTGAAAATTTCTCTACATTTTTGTTCAAACTTCAAACATGTGATCTGATAACATGAGCAAGAGGAAAGGGATACAAATATCCATGGGTACATTAATTTAAGGGTTAGTTGCAGATAGACACCTTGCAGTATCAATATTTCAAAATTACTACCCCGCGGTTTTGTTTTGGGAGCTAAACCCTCTGGGTGAATTTTTTTTGACTCCGACAGGCTCACTAATTTCACCCAAGATAAATTTCACCAAGGGTAAAACAGCTACAAAATTTTATCTAGTGGGGCTAGGTGCAATTAACCCTTGATTTAAAAGTGAATATTCACGCCGTGAAGATTATATACATCATAACATTGAGAAACTGACCTGTTTGCGATCCTGAATCAAATGGAGAGGTCATCGAACTGTGAGGGCTCGGTGGCATAGAGGAGAACATCGAAGACCTCCCATCCACATTTCTCACACCTGCGATAGCAATAGAATGACGTCTTGGAGACACTGGCTTCGATAACTTTGTTGGTGATAGTGCTGCAGTAAGCCTTGGAGGAGAACCAGGAGGAGTAAACCTCGGGGTGGTACTGAGTGATGATATCCGAAGTCCATAAGGCATTCCTTGTTTATAGACGACAAGTAATTTAATACAAGAAAAAAAACGTTGGTATTTACATGATACTGATACTGGAATATGATGAATATAGTTACTTACTATCCGTATCATTACTGCTGATATCCTCCGAAACTGAACTCCCAGTTTCTGATAACCGGCTCTGTGCAGATGTTGAGTTTATGCTTGGGTTTGCAGCTTCTTCTTCTGATGAACAGATGAAATTACACAAGTATGTTCTTTAGTGATCCTGAAACCTAAATATGTTGATCATGGACTAATTATAGAGTTTGAGCTAGGCCACTATGGAAATGCGAATACCATAGACTCAAAGCTCTAATGTGGATCGCTAAAGAAGAAATCAGTATTGTTAGATGTGATCTAATGCAGGTGGTGCTAACCTAGAAGCAAAATTCTCAATGGCTTTGATGTGTTATTAATCATACCAAGGGATGAAAACTATTCAATCACATCAACATAATAAAACAAAAACGTTGATTTTGACAACATAAGGATCTCGAATTCATCTGAAATTTTATTCCTGGATAGCAGCGAACCTGATCAAATCGAATATGCATAAACTAACATAAACCAGACGCAGAATGTAGTATTTTCCGTGATGTGAATCACCTGCGATGTTTGATCCAGTTGAAAAACTAGCGTCTGCAGCCTGCCTCGGAACCATCTTTGGAGCTCCCTGCTGTAAAAACACAGGGTTTTAGTTCGCAATGCCAGGTTTATGTACAGTTTACGAATCCTTAAATTCGAGCTGAGTAGAATGAAAACTTACTGAGCCGTCGTCTTCCTCTTTAAGTGACTGCATGAGTGTCTTCTTAAAAACTTCCAACTGCAAGTCATGAGAGAATATATGCAGTAAGAGACACGAGTACACAAAAAAATATATATATATACATAACAGAATCTGTGACTCAAAATTTTCGAACTCTGGTAGCAATCATCCATCATCTAGTTAAACATTTTGGTGCTCAGATCCTTTTGATAATTATTATGCATGTATCTTTTTCGTAAAACTAAATTTCATAATACTAGATGTTTGCATCCCATCCTACGAAAAGACAAACAGAAAGAAAGCTGCTTTGAGTAGATAAGACCTTTATTCTGTTAAAACAATCAAATTTCAGATTCACTATATAGCCACAGTGCAAGTCTTCGGAAAAATAATTTCTATAATTTTACCAGGACTAATTAAAAGATCTCACTGAATCAGTCAATTCTCGATGTCCTTTTTCTGTGAGTTTTATAATGCTTAATTGCGCTTAGACACCCTATAGTTCCCCTACTTTGCACTTGCATACCCTCGCTTGTTTTTGTCGGCGCTTGTACGCCTACATTTTTTAAAACTTGCACTTATATGCCCTAACTTTTTTTAGCAGTATTTATTATATGTCTTAAAAATTTTAAAACTTACGTTTAAATACCTTAATAAAGATTTTAAAACCTGGCACTTAAAATATGGATTAATCATTGGTAACGAAACAAAATCCGACCTTGGAGACGTCTCGATTGAGCTTCTTAACCGTGCTGGACAGCGACGCGTTCTCATTCAGCAGCGCCGCCTACAACAAAAGCAAGCTTCAGGCAGAATAAAATAAAATAAAATAAAATAAAAACTAAAATAAAATCGGCGGCGTTGACCTTCTCCTCGTCGGCCTGCGCGAGGGCGCGGGAGAGGTCGGCGAGCGAGGCGTCGAGGCCGTCAACCTGAGCCCGCAGCTCGGCGACTAAATCGTCCTTGTGGGCGAGGTTTCGGCGGAGGGAGTCGGCCTCGGACTCGAGGGCGGAGACGCGGGAGGAGAGGGCGATGGAGGTGATCTTTCGCGCCACGTCCAGCTGCTCGAACGGGTCAGCGGGCAGCACCCCCAGCACTGACTCGGGCAGCTCGAAGTCTCGCTTCGCCATTTTCTTTAAATTTTTTGTTAATATTTTGTTTTTTATTTATTTATTTTTTGGATTTATAGGGAGGGAATAAATATTGTTGCGGAGGTTTGGATTTGTGATGGAGATTAGATTCGGATAAGGAGGGAGTGATTGGATGATTGATGGGTTTTTATTTGTGGGGACGTATGATATGAGGGGTTGAGAAATGGAGTGAAATATAATATTGAAATTCGGGGGATTTTGGAAGAATTATGTAGGCTTGGCCGCTTGGGGGTTGTCTCATTCAATTTCTATAAATTATAGGAAAAGGAAAACATCCAAAATATAGATTTTTTTTTGTGTTTTTTTAAAGAGATTATAGGAAAAGTTTTGAGAGGTTAAAAAGTATCAATTTTTTTATTTTTTGTACTTTGCTTGTTTGGTTAAAATAAAATAAAATAACCCATTGCTTTATAGAAATATCAAGTTTTTATTTTTCTTTTGTTTGGTTACATATTCCAAATTTATATAAAAATGTCAACTATCATATTTATCACTTTATAACGGCTAAATACATTCTCAAATCTTATAAAATCATTCTATCCTCAACCTCAACTATCCATGAACACAAAAATTTCCACAATTGAAAAACATGATTAAGAGTGTTAGAGACCGTGGTGACTCGTCAAGTTCATCAAATCCAAAGATATGTATTTTGGTTAGAAAAAACTATAAATTCTATTAATATTTTCCCAATGACCAAGTCTATTTTTCCTATTTTGTAATCATCGTGCTCGGAAAAAACCGCAGAAACCAATGCTAAGAGCCAATGCTTTGAAAGTTAGATACCAAAACGGGTGGTGGAAGTGTCCCTATTGCAATGATATCCCCTACACAAATTAGAATATGAATGATCTCTTAACTCACGCGCACAATATTGGTAACAATGGTCTGTGCCGAACATGGGTAAAGAGGGGATTGGCCAGCATCGTGGACTAGAAGTTTATTTAATTTGGTTAGATCGAAATCAATGATCTAAATAAATCATGTATCACTTTGGCAATTTCGTGCGCGTAATTTGATATTTTCATGTAGAAATTTGGCTCAACTAATGGTCTTTTATCAAAATTGACTGCCTCAACTGAAACACACAACTTCACGTAGATTGTGTTCTAATAACGTAGTAAAAAATACCTTATTTTATTATGAACATTATTAATTAGTTTTGCAATCTTATTTAGTTGACCATCATCATTGCCAAAAAGCTCAAACCCAACAATATAGAGCTAAATAAGCTTGAAATCATCATTGTAACAATAAAAACAGCCCAACAGCTCGATAACGAGCACGAGTATCAACCAAAAACTCCACAATATAGAGCTAAACAAGCTCGAAATCAACATTGTAACAAAAAAAAACAGCCCCAACAACTCAACAACGAGCACGAGTATCAACTAAAAACTCGACAATATAGAACTAAACAAGCTCGAAATCAGTATAGTAACAAAAAAAAACCCAGCCCCAACAGCTCGACCGCGAGCACGAGTATCAACCGCGAGCATGAGTATCAACCAAAAACTCCACAATATAGAGCTAAACAAGCTTGAAATCAGCATATTAACAAAAAAAACCCCAACAGCTCGACAACGAGCACAATATCAACCAAAACCCCCATAATATAGAGCTAAACAAGCTCGAAATCATCATAGTAACAAAAAACAGCCCCAACAACTCAACAACGAACACGAGTATCAACCAAAAACTCCACAATATAGAGCTAAACAAGCTCGAAATCAGCATATTAACAAAAAAAATAGTCCCAACAGCTCGACAACGAGCATAATATCAACCAAAGAATTTTCTTTTCAAATGCTCAAATGATTGATGATTTCAACATGCTAACAAATTCGACAGCTAAGCAATATTTGATAATCGACTAAAAAATCAAATGAAAAAAATTGAAAAATCAACTGAATAATCTCGGATAATAAAGGGGTTTAGATGTTTATTTTTATACCTTAATAGCCTCGAAATCTATGGCGGAATCACGAATTAGCCGCAAGAACGCCGACGAACTAGAACGTGTTGGATATCTACTCAAACTCCAAGTTAGGATAGAGTTTTTAATTCTTTGTATAACTTCATGAGAATTAGATAAGGTTAGGATAGAGTTTTTAATTCTTTGTATAACTTCATGAGAATTAGATAAGGTTAAGGATCTATCATGATTAGGAGTTTGGGTTCCATCATATTTGTATAACTTCATGAGAATTAGATAAGGTTAAGGATCTATCATGATTAGGAGTTTGGGTTCCATCATAGTTGTGAGTTTAAATCTTATTCTAATTAGGAAGTTAGGTTAGAGATAGGTTTTGGTTTCTCTATATATATCCTTCTATTGTTAGAAGAAGAAGAAGAGAGAGAGAGAGAGAGAGGGTTTGGCAGTCTTTGTCCGTGTAAAAGATTGTAATTTGAAGCTGATAGTGGATTGATTTTGATCCCGTGGTTTGTTCATGTTGAGGGTTTTCCATGTTAAATCTTGTGTGATTTTATTTGTTACGTTTGGTGGTTTTTTTAGGGTTTTTGCAAGATCTAAAAATTTCCTAGAAGTGGTATCAGAATGGGGTTCGACGGTTTGCGGAGATTCGAGATTCGCAACGATATTGGCGGCAACGGTACTGTAGCAACAGCGCTGCTCACCGTGGTACTGTAGAAGATGATTTGTTCACGGCGACGCAGTGTTCACGGTACTGTAGCAGCGGGTACTGTAGCAGCAACAGATCCGATTGTTGAGCTTGATTTGTCTTTTGATCGAGGATTTGTAGGCGGATTTCGGTGATCCAGGAGTCGTTCCTAGGGTTTTTCGACGTGCTGAGTTCGTTTTTGACGTCAGTTTTATCAAATTCAATCTCTACAGGGACTGATTTGAATTTTGATCGTGGTTAGAGGATGATGACTTCTTCGGGTCCGAAGTTTGATATTCCGCTATTCAATGGCAAGATAAATTTTGCAGTATGACAGTGCACGGTTCAAGATATTCTTGTGCAGTAGGGTATTGATCAAGCTTTGGAGGAAAAGAAACCTGAATGATTGAAGGATGTTGAATGGAGTTCCATGTAAAAGAGGACGGTTAGCACAATTCGTTTTGCACTCGCCCCCGAGATCAAGTACAATGTTATGCAAGAGACCACACCAAGGGGGCTGTGGGAAAGGCTCGAGGGGATTTATACGTCGAAGTCGATGACCAATCGATTGTGTTTGAGGATGGAGCTTTATTCATTGAAGATGGAAGAAGGTACTACAATTCAAGACCACATCAATGCCTTTAATCAGCTAGTTTGCTAACTTATGAATATTGATGAGGAGATTAAAGAAGAAGAGCATGCGCTACTCCTATTGTCTTTCTTACCGAAGTCGTGCAAGCCGGTAGTTCAGACGATAATTACAGGGAAGCAGACATTGAAGTTCGACGATGTGACAGCACTCCTACGTGAGAATAAAAGAATGATGGGAAAGGAGAGCGCATCTAATGGTGGTGAGAGTACACTAGCATTTGAAGGTTCTAATCGAGGGAGGAGTACGGGGAGATGTGACAGTTATCAAGGAAGGCCAAAATCTCGGGCCTGGGATGATAGCGAAAAGGAGTGCTATTATTGCGAAGAGAAGGGTCACATTCGGTTCAAATGTTCCCAGATGCGTGATGATTTGAAGAGTATTAGACAGATGAAGCTTCAAGAAAATAGGAAGAAAACGGATTCCTCAGTGGTTGTGTGTGATGAAGATGTGGTTTTATTGATATAGAGTACATGTACTGATACGAGTAACACTTGGGTGATAGAATCTGCAGCCTCTATACACGTTTGTAACAACAAAAATTATTTTAACACATTGAAGACATATGAAGAATTTGACGACGTGATTGTTAGAAACAACAAGAATGTAAAGGTTGAAGGCGTTGGAAGTGTTCGCCTCAAGCTTCACACTGGGAAGGTCGGAATTCTTTATCATGTGAGATATGTGTCGACATGTGGTGCTAATTTAATTTCGTTAGGTGAGATGGCATCACGTGGGTACAAGTATGTGGGTGAAGGATGTGGTGCTAATTTAATTTCGTTAGGTGAGATGGCATCACGTGGGTACAAGTATGTGGGTGAAGGAGAATGGTGCAATGTGTATAGAGATGGCGATTTATCACGTGGGTACAAGTATGTGGGTGAAGGAGAATGGTGCAATGTGTATAGAGATGGCGATTTGATTTTGCGAGGGAGGAAGAGTAGCAATGATACGAGTTGCCGTGCGAGCACCTTTGATCGCGGAATTATCAAAGGTGGGTTGAGAAGAAAACAATAAGAACACAAGAATAACTCAGGTTTTGGGCAAAGGAAAATACCTTCTCTAGATTATGAGTATGCACTTTACAATCTCTCACAATCTCACTCTAGAATTGATGAACAAGCTCTCCAAATCTCAATTACAATCTAATCTCTCTTGATTAAACTCTCTGATTTCTGATTTCTAACCTGATCTCTCTTTAAGATTTCAGATGATGTTTAGTAACCCTAAACAACCCTTTATATAGGTGTACAAACGTGGATGGCAATCTGGTAAATAACCAAGCCCAAACCCAACAGGAAAACGCGTAAATAGAGTCCTTAACGAATCTGGAAAACTCCGATGAGTTGACTCATGAACAGTTATGAGTCGGCTCATGACCTCATATGAGTCGACTCATAACTGATGAGTCGACTGGTCAGAAACTTTTGCTAACATGGCTTAATTTCTTGAGTCGACTCATGACAGGCATGTGTCGACTCAACCTGATGAGTCGACTCATGTACATGTATGAGTCGACTCACAGGCTGAAATCTGGATTCTTCGAATCTGCTGCTCGTCATCTCGTTTCACGCTTCCACCTGCGTTCCACTGTACTATTTTACACCCCTATTCTCATGCTATCATGAGAATCATCTATCCTCAAGCTTCCATGAGGATCGCTAAGCTCCCGAAGAGAAGATACACCCGTATCATGGATCCCCTCTTTAGAAACTTGAAGTCCCGTTCAAGTTAGAACTTTTGCTGAAGAAACTCTCAAGCTCCTCCATCTTTTCTGTACCATCTGGCCCTGCTAGGAACCTGGTCTCGATGT